ACATGTCTAGGATTGGATTTATTTATAAATTTGTATATTTTTTTTCCATGATTTTATTTTTCTTGATGATAATTTTCTTGCCATTAGTGTTGGGGGTTTAGGTAGGGTTTAGGATTTATACTTGGTAAAATTCCTACACCAGATTTTGTAGATCTTTTATTTTCCTGAGTGATTCTATTTTATCATAGTGCGGAGAAGTTAAAGAATTTTCCTTATCAACACATAACATTGTTTATACTAGGTTTTGTATATTGTTTGCTTCATAAAAGAGATTATCCTCTAAAATCCTAATTGGCTACACAACCTCTAAGTTTATTTTATTTTATAACCGTTTTTATTATTTCTTAACATAAATTTCATATTTTAAACAAACACAGTATTCTAATTAATTATAATAGTGATTAAATTTTCAATGAGGTCTACCCAACGAAAAGGCATTGACTTACAAAACATGATCTCATGTTAAGAAAAAATGATTAAATAAAAAATATACAAACTAAATTGGCTAAATGAGTACAACAATAAAGAAATCATTTTGCTATAGATCGCCCCCCTTCCCTCCCCACCACAAAAAAAAAAAAAAAAAAAAAAAAAAAAAAACCCTGCTACGTTGTTGTGTTGTGTTGTTCCCTAATACGTAAGATTGCTGCCGTCATCAGCAATAATTCTAAGTCCTTTGGAAAGACCTAAAGTTTGTAAACAAATAAAAAGCAAATTAATAAAAAGCATAAAGAAAAGTGAAGTTAGTAACTTTTATTTATAAAAAAAACACAAACGAAGGGACCGCAGGTGTAGCTAGTGCACCACTGTTGGTCTTGAATTGAATCGATACAGTCGTGAATCTTGTGCTGATCTGTACAAACAGTTACTGTTCTGGCTCTTTATGCACAGGAATTTGTGTGTTAGAAGAGTAAAGAGATGTTTTTTTCTTCTATATATATGTGTGTGTGCGCTTGAGGAGCGCATGCAGCACAAGAAGGAAAAAATGAGTCACTCAGGAGCATCTCTGTCAGCTATGCAGGTGATGATTGTGGTGATGGTCATGGCCCTGCTGACCACCACAAGTCATTGCATTAACATCAACAGTAGCTTCGTCAGCGGCGGCGGCTACTCCTCCTCTTCGAGGTGTAATGGTCTCACTGCCACGGCATGTCGTATTGCATACTCCGAGTTGGACTTTGACTCGGAGTTCATGTTGGACTCAGAATTCAGCATAAGGATCCTCGAGGGTGCCAATTCCCCCCACAAAATCGATTTGTCAAAAATTCCGGGGAAAGCTGCGTCCTGCGGCCCAGGTGATAAATCTGGCGCGTGCCACGGTGAAAAAAACAAAACACCCAAACCACCGAACTGCAAGCAGCCAGGCACTGAGACCAACAAGGATTGCCACCGCTACCCATAAGAAGAAGATGTAAGCCAATTACTACTGGATGGATCCATGCATGGGATCGTGTGCAAGCTTTTAAGTTATATAAATGGTGATATTTTTTCTGCTTTTTAATTTCTGTGTACGTAGAGAGTTCGTGTTGGTACGTCTCTGCATTTGGTTCTTCATTTTCTTTTTCGGTTTTCTTTTTAAATTTAAATATCAACCGTTGAAGTATGGATTACTCTCCGCTTTTTAACTTTTAAATGTTAGAAGAAAAAAAAAGATTAAAAAAAAGAGAAAACATTACTGCTTGTGCCCCTGGTGCAAACCAGTTTGGTTAGAAACTAATCACATCTCGACTTAATAGACAACTTGGGGAAATTGGATGGACATGTTTTTCCCTGTTTCGTTCTTTGTCAAGAAATCTTTCATTCCAGATGAGTCCATCTGATACTAGTTTTCAAGTTAGCTTTCAGCAATGCATTGTAACTCAAATTAAGTTGACTTGGGAACAACGCCCATTAATTAACAGAGGTCACTAATTCATTTTCTTTTTAAAAGACTTTGAACGGATAAAAAGAAAACGCGACTTTGAACGGATAAAAAGAAAAGGAATAAATATAGATAAAGTAGTAACCTTTGATTAAAACACAAATGCGCAGGGATCGCAAGCCTAGTGCTCGGGTTGGATGCTAGGCTAGCTACTGACTGAGTCGTGAATCTCGTGGTCTATATATATAATATATTATTTAAGCAATAATTGCACAAAAAGAAAAGTTTATGGAGGGGCCTAGGCTAGGCTACTGGTGTCTTTTGTTTCCTTTTCTCCTTCTTAATAACTCAATCGGCGTCAGTTTCATTTCTGTGTACGTTTGTGTGCTTTTGATTCTCCCTCTTCTTTTTTTCTTTTTTTGTTTTATTAAGGAAGTGGATTCCAACTTGGGATGTTTTGTATCATTTAGAAGAACTAGTTGGTTGGTTCTTCAAATATTTGTGTGCTGTAATCGTGTTAACCAATTTCAAGTCTATATGAATTACTCTTTCTTTTAAATGTCGGAAAAATAAAAACATTACAATTTTTTGTGTATCTGGTACAACCGTACAAACCGGGTTGGGTAGAAACTACATGCGAGAAGAGAGTATTTCGGTCACCAACTTAATTTTTATTTATTTATTTATTTTCAAGGGAGGATCACCACCTTAATTAATAGTGAGCATTTGTTACATGAATTTAAAAAATTAAGTGAAATTTGATATTGATTAGTCTTTTTTTCATATATGATTTCTGGATTCATTAGTTAAGTTGCTTTAGGATTCTACATTACTTTAGCATATTTCTCTTTTTCCTGTTTTTCACTTTGTCAGACAACAGCAACAAAAGAAAAAGCAAAAGCTATCATATTGAGACTAACTCTTGAACAACAATGTAGAAATAAACCACGTACAATAAAAAAAAGAAAAAATGTCTACCTACCATACTATTTACACCACGTACTTTATAAAAAAAGAAAAAAAAAAACCACGGACTTTTATTTTCATGAATTAATTGAAAACGCCCACCAAACTTACCGAAAATGTCATGTAGAAATGTCTACCTATCATACTATTTACACCACAACAACTCTAAACACACGAACTCCTCTCCCTTCACATGTGAAATCCCCCACTGCGAATAGCGAGGCAACTGTGAATGATGATGACATTGGAGATCATGATGGCTCACGACTACCTTGAAAGAGTACCCTGTTGATATCTACCATGATATCTACCATGCAGTTGAGGAGAAACACTTGTGTAAAATGGGGCTAACATTATTTTACCATATCGAACATAACAAGTTTTTCACACCCAAAGCCTATTTACAACATAACAAAGAGACTTTTAACTTCTTATAAATTACAAAACTGCCATTGATTTTTCAAAACAAGCCCAACCTCAAAACCTCATTAAAAAAAACCCAAAACACTCAATAGGCATCAAAGTAATTAAATAATCAAAATTAAATTCAATAGAGCCAGCTGTCATTTTTTAGGGGGTTTTTTTTTGGGTTTGTTTATAGAAATTAAATGGTGCTGGGTTTATATATAGTGCTAAGAATAGATATATGACTAAATATCTCTAAAATCATTTGCGGCAAAAGAAGGTGTCTGACATCACACAATATAAAAAAGAGGAGTGCAATTGTCAATATATTATCTCTTGAATTGCATGCCTGAGTATTTTCTGAATTTTTATGACACCTCTCTTGTGTTTTTTCCTTTTATTGAATCAAGTTAAGGTATTTTTTTCAAAAATCAAAATAAAAATCTTTTAAATCGAAAAATAGTGGGGCTCAACAAATTATGCTTAAGAGTCATTTTGATATGAAATACTATAATCCTAAAGTTACAAATCCTCACCCTCATCACTTCCACAAGTCTAGCCATCTAACCTTTGGTTTTTGACGCTATATTCATAACATGTGAATTAAGGTATAGAAAGTTCCATATTGAAAGTTGAGGGACTTTCTCCAATCCATACAAAGTTCAGGACCATAGCTCCTAAAAAGTTTTTGGTTTGGATCAGGTGAGAACGCTTATGTGCGAACGTTACGTGACAACATTGTTGTATCTAATCTAACGGCTGCATCAAAAGCAATTGTAAGTGTAAGTGTTGTATTAGAACGACGTCTTCTTCTCTCTCCTCCCACCAAAACGTCGAGTCGGAAACAGACGTCCCCTCCAAAACAGACGTCTCCTCCAATCCAGTTGTTCGTTTTGTTCAAGGTGGCCAATTTTTTTATCAGCTTTGATTGAGCAAGACCAATAACACTGAAGAGAGAGAGCCCCTGTTATTCCTTATTCGATTTCAGGAGGAACACAGAAGTATTAGCTCTCATTTTTCTGGGTTTCTCATTCAGGCAAAAGAAAGTGTTCGTGTATTTTATATTATCATCTTTGTGATTCGGCCTTTCTGGTCAACACATTCGTCAATCCTTGACCAACGTCTTGAGTTGGAAACTGGTGACCGTGACCGTTGTGTTGTTCTCTTGGTTTTGAAATCGTTGAGCACGGTCGAAACAAGGGTTGAGGAGGAAGAAAAGTGTTTGGGGTTGACATCCAGATCTAAAAGGGCGACATTGTCATATTTGTAGAAATTTTGAAGTTGGAAATGACTCACGAGGTAAGTGCTATACTGTATTTGTCAAGTTTATTATTGGGCATGAGCATGAGTTACATTAGTTTGTATTTAGGTCTTTAATATTTCACCAGCGAATTATTTTCGTATCATATGTTAGTTAACGTATATATTTTAAAGATCTTTATACTGTATTTGTCAAGTTTATTATTGGGCATAAGCATCAGTTACATAATTTTGTATGTTGGTCTTGAATATTTCACTAGAGAGTCATTTTCATATCATATGTTAGTTAATATATACATTTTGAAGCTCTTTACACTGTATTTGTCAAGTTTATTATTGGGCATAAGCATGAATTACATTAGTTTGTATGTAAGTCTTTAATATTTCACCAGAGAATCATTTTCATATCATATGTTAGTTAATATATATATTTTAAAGCTCTTTGAAAGCATGAGCCAATGTTGGTATGATGGTGGTGAATTCAGGGTTAAATTGCAAGAACTGTGCAATGGAGTGTGAAGGACAGGTGACACCGGAAGTAAGGTTGGAGTTGAAACCAAAATTGAGACTTGAATTTGATTACTGTGATGATGTGTTCAATTTCTATAATATGTATGATGTGGAAGCCGGATTCGGCATTCGATGTTCTACAACGAGGACGTGCACAATGACAGGAGAGGTAACAAGAAAGGAATATGTATGTTGTAAACAGGGGTATGCATTGACAAAGACTGTTAGTCATAAGAGAAGACGACGAGGTTGTACTCAAACTGGTTGCAAGGCTAAACTTGCGATATTGAAGATGAAAGACAAGAATAAGTACATTGTTGTAGGATTAAATGAGGTACACAACCATGACATGAACACAGTTGATAATGTCCATCTATTGAGATCTCACCGTAACTTAACAGAGTCTACAAAGGCCTATAGTGCAGATATGAGCAAAGTTAATATTCCGGTACATAAACAGTTAAGCCTTCTTGAGGTGCAAGTAGGGAGATTGGAAAATGTTGGGTTTGTTAAGAGAGATGTCTATAATTATCTAAGGGACATACGTGGAGAGGTGATTGGCCATGTTGCATAGCTGCTTAAGGAGCATTTTATGGCTATGCAAGAAAAGAATGAATCCTTTTATTTCAAGATGGAGGTAGATTCGGAAGGAAGGATGGGTAATGTTTTCTGGTCAGATGCAAGGTCAAGACGAGCTTATGGGTTTTTTGGAGATGTGGTGGTATTTGATACGACATTCAACAAGAACCGCTATAGGATGGTCTTTGCACCTTTGTTAGGCGTTAATAACCATCGGCAGACAGTGTTGTTTGGTTGTGCATTCCTAACTAGTGAAACCACGGATTCATTTGTATGGTTGTTAGAAGAATTCAAGAAAGCCATGCCGGGTGAGCCACCCAAAATGATCATAACTGATCAATATGCAGCCATGTCAAAGACAATTGTTGTAACTCTTTCGACAACATTCCATAGATATTGCATATGGCATGTCTTGAATAAGATTACAGAGAAACCCGGCATTGGAGAATGTTTTTCGGAAATGAACAAATGCATATGGGATATGGACAAGAAAGAAGAATTTGATGCGAAATGGGAGGAAATCATCACAAACAATGGGCTGCAAGACCATGCGTGGCTGAGCTCAATTCATGCTATGCGGGAGAATTGGGTTCGATCATATGTAAAACATGTGTTTTCGGCTGGGATGTCAAGTAGTCAACGGGCCGAAAGCTGTCATTCATTTTTCAAATAATATATTAACCGGAAAAATACATTGATGAAATTCATTGTACGTTTTGAGAGAGCTCTTGCTTCACAAAGACACAAGGAGTTAATGCTGATCATGTTGATTACAATGAAAATCCTCCACTGCCATTTCAAACACCAATGCAACATCAAATGAGATGCATTTACACTCGGGAAATTTTGGAAATGTTTGAGAGGGAAGACTTCAGAAGTCTTTTATGCTTGCTCGAACTTGTAGACGAAGATGAGACGCACTGCAGATACAAAGTGAGTGAGCGGGTAAATCCGGGGGTGACACGGATTAAGGAGCTTGTGCATGATAAAGATGCCGATAAAGCTTATTGCAGCTACAAAGGTTTTGAATTTTGGGGTATTCCGTGCCGACACATCCTAGCATTCTTAAGAATGAAGCAGGTTGAGCACTTGCTAGACAAGTACATATTGAAACGATGGCTTCAAAGTGAGAAAAGCGGTGTAATATATGATAAGAATCACAAAGAAGTTAACGATTGCATTGATGGTTTGCTTTTGGTTAAGAGATCGAAAGTTTGCAAAGTTGCAAGGGAGTTGATTGATTCGGCTTTGTTGCGTGATGAAGGTTTTGAGTTGCTGGAAAAATCTTTTGAGGACATTCGTGGGAAGCTTACAACGTTGGTGTTATCAAGAGCTCATGTCGAATAACCCAATGGAGATGTCGGAACTAGTTATCCCCAACTCATAATCAAAGATCCACCAATGTAGTGCAACGACATAAACGTCAGTGCATTGAATGTAGGAAGACTGATCATGATAGACGGAGTTGTCCAAAACTTTCAAGCCCGTAAGTGAATATGTGTTATATTGTTCTTTGAAATTTATGTTGTTGATGTTCATTATTATTTTTTTTTCCCGATGTGGCAGCTCTTCATCTTTCGACACAGAACTTGGTGGTCCAGTTGGTGAGAATTTGCAGCCCACTCAGAGAATGCAGGATAGTGAACCTACTATGACAGAGTCATTTATGCAAGAGTTTGATTTCATGTATGGTCCCGTAGTTTGAGCACTTATTGATACTTATTTACATGTTTTTGAAAGTATCTGGAAGCTTTAGTGAATCTTAGGTAAATGCCTCATGCCCATTAATACTGAACTATGGTTTATTATTAAACACATAACTATCTGGAAGAGTTTGATTTCATTTATGGTCCCGGAGTTTTAACATTTATTGATACCGATTTACATATTTTTTGGTCGTGAACGCACCATGCTTTCAATGCTTAACTCAAAGTTTTGAATCCATCTTTTGTTGAAGGTTGATGTCCCGGATGTCCTCTGGGGTTTGGGATTTTCATAACCTAAAGCCCTTGTTTGAAGGAGAACGAGTTTGGGGGAATCATGCAAGGGGTTTTCTACACAAATTTGCAATGGTTGCAATGAATTTGAAAAGATCGAGGGAATCTTGAAACCATGACTATGTATCAGTAAGAGAATCTTGAAACAATCACTATGTCTCTGTAAAGTCTCAACCAACGAATATCTATGTAAAGAATCTTGAAACAAATTGTCTCCCCACCGACAATGAATTAAACAAAAATTGTGAGCACTATTACGAAATGAACGCTTCTAATCCGGAAGTTAGTGATCGAACTGTGATTGAACTCTAGGTTTGATAGCAGTGTAAAACGAAATAATAAGCTACACGTAAGCATGATCGGGCATTAACATTAAAACAGTAAGCATGATCGGGCATTCACATTTAAACACTAACCTAGATCGGGCATTCACATTTAAACACTAACCTAGATCGGGCATGCATATTTAAGCACTAACCCAGATCGGGCATTAACAAAAACAAACAACTGCTAAGGGATTGCGTACGGATTGATATAGCTATCACTAGTCATTATCGTTGCCTTTTGCTGGTTGGTGGCCTTGCTCTGTTGGGTGTGCACCGCTGGAGATGATTTCCTGTGCAGCAGACGGGATATAGCGTCCCAATCAATATCTTTGTGGACATCTGCAGCGAACCGTCGGAATTTCTCAAAACCTTGGTTGAAAGCCACAGACATTTAGTCATTATCGTTGCCTTTTGCTGGTTGGTGGCCTTGCTCTGTTGGGTGTGCACCGCTGGAGATGATTTCCTGTGCAGCAGACGGGATATAGCGTCCCAATCAATATCTTTGTGGACATCTGCAGCGAACCGTCGGAATTTCTCAAAACCTTGGTTGAAAGCCACAGACATTGCCTGGCCTTGGTTGTCGCCTCCTTTGTGGAAGCTCAAAGATTCATACGTAGCGTCCTCCTCTGTCATATGCAAATCCTCTACTGTGTGCTTTCTTCTTTGGGCACGAATTCTCTGCTTCTCTTTTCGGAAACGGGCTTTGTTAACTTGCCGAGTCAAATAAGCCAACTTTTGCTCAGCTCTGACACACTTTGGAGTCCAATAATGGACCAAGGAAGAGTTGTGTTCCAGTTTGTTCTAATATCATTTATTTCCACAGCGGGATCATCGGAGTCCCCCTCACTTGCGGAGGAGGTTGGAAGAGGCAGCGGTGGTGGTGGGGACCTTGGATAATCGGGGGCATATTCCCATGAGCCATCGGAGTCCCCCTGATTCGCTTTGCTGCTTGAACTGGCAGACATGTTGACAAAATCGTCAGATTGGGGGATTCGGCAAAAGGTTTGTATGCAAACAAGACGACTGGAAAGAAGAAAAGAGAGATGAAAGGCATGAGTAGCCCATAGGCATAAAACAACGTTTATACATTATGTAAGGAAGTTTTCCATTTTTTTTTCTCCTTTTGTCCCATCACTTTAATATATATATATATATATTTAAAAGTAATCAGAGTATTTGATTTAGTTAATCACAGGAGCCTCACATGATTAGTAAAAATGTTAGCACACACTTGAATTTTGATTTATCAAGTTTGAATGAGTTCGTAGCAATTTGCGAAATTTTTTCCCCATTTTTGTATATTTAGTTATGAATTTTGTAAGAAAATAGCAATATT